TTATTGTTTTTTCCAATGTTTTGGGCTCCTTGTGCGTCATTTTTATTGGTTTTTCCAATGTTTCGAGCTCTTTGTGCGTCATTTTTATTGTTTTTTCCAATGTTTTGGGCTCCTTGTGTGTCCTTTTTATTGGTTTTTCCAATGTTTTGGGTTCCTAGTGCTACTTTTATTGGTTTTCCAATGCTTTGGGTTTCCTGTGTGCAGCTTTTATTCGTTTTTCAATGTTCTGAGATCTTTAGGGTTTCGCGACTTTGCGACTGTATAGGAGAGCACGGTCGAGGACTTGCCGAAAGCACGATTTAGTGGGGGACTGTGTAGAGAGCACGATGACTTGTACAAGAAGGGAAATGGTAGGTACATGGGGGGGGTACCATATATATGTATATATCTGTATGTATGTATGTATGTATGTATGTTTGTATGTATGTATTTATTTATAACTATGTATGTGTATATGTATATTCATGTGTATGTGCATCTTTACACATAAGATACGGCAATAATGTCTTGGGGGTTTAGTGCTTTTAGTGTTTACAGCCAAGCGCTTGAGGGTCTGCGCACTGCAGCCCCTCCTCAAAAGGAGTGCAAAGAGTTTAGGGTATACAGGGGTTAGGGTTCAGAGCGTTTTAGCGCTGTAATTAGCAAATTAAGATGTTAGGGTGTAGGGCTCTACAGAGCAATCGCTTTAGGGTTGCAGGGTAAGGAGTCCCTGTGAGTGTTATCAGGGCCAAAAGCAACTCTACTAGCCTCAAAGTCTGCCCGATTGAGGTCCGAAAGCATTTGTAGGTAGCCGGATTTAGGATGGTGCGAACTGTAGGTCAGTCTATGAACCTTGGAGTGTATGACAGGTGAAGTACTTGGACAGTCGGGGTTCACTCAGTGATGCAACTGCCGGTTCGCTCTTTGCTTGAGGTGTATTTTGGGGCTCTGGTGAGTGCATATTATAGGGCTCCTTAGGATTATCGTCGGGCGTATAGTTTGTGCGGGTATTCTGGGGATACTAGATCTTTGTCCCTCCAGTAATGGGGTATCAGAGTCAGACAGAATCCAAGACCAGAGCCTCCCAATGCAGGAAGCCTCTCTCCGGGCGAGCGTGCTGGCCGTTGGAGCCTTGTCGGCGTGCATGATGGCAGCAGGCACGGTCGAGGGGTTTGCCCAGAGATCTCAGTAGCCTTGAATTGAAGGAATATATAGGTCTTAGACAGCAATCTCAGTCAATATGCTCAAAAGCAAATATTCGTTACTTGAGGGGTAGGTTGCGCTGTGTTGGCACAGACTGATCCAAGGCTGCACTTCGCAGCCAACCTTTCGAGCGCCTTCCCATAGCCAAAGAGTTCCCCCAAACGGTTGAAGGGTGATTTTGGGCTTATCCTCGTGAATTGGCTGCAGGTGTTCATGGCCACCACAGGTTTAGGGTCTGTATGGCACTGTATGGTGTGTAGGGGTTAGAGTCCTAGATCTCTTCAGCTCTTACCACAGTTTCGTCGACGGCATCTGTCAGCAAGCACGATGCAGGAATCCGGTTGCTTCGACGCTGCCCGGCGATGACCAGCGCAGCAAAAACGAGGGGAGGGGAGGGACGGAAGTCGGCTAGTGTCCGAAACAGTATCCTGGCTACCTTAGGTGGGAGGCAAGAAAAGCCAAGATCCTTACCACAATTCACGGTGAGACTGGGACTCGGGTGAGGTTGCAGACGATGGGGGTTGGACCCCTTTGCATGTCCCTCATCCAAGACATGCCCAGGCCGAGAGTTCAATTTTAGCTTCGGGTTGCGGGCCGCGAAAGCTTCGGTACGAGCAGATCGGACATGTGGCTCTGCTTGCCGGGCGCAGCCGGCTTCCGTGGCTTCCTTTCAGCTCGAGCCTTCTCTTCACAACCCGTCCCTGCAGACTGCCGGGACTGAGAGCAGGTGATGCGATGTGGCGCCTTCACGCTTCTAAACTTCTGTCGCCAGGCCAACATGGCATGAGTTGACAAGGTGGCAAGCACTGGAGATGTTTTTTGCCGTGCAGTTGTGTACCTGTGTTTGCTCCTTTGGGTGGCACAACCACATGGCGCCAGACCACACCATAGTTAATGAAAACCACACCATGCCAACAAAAGTTGTACTGGACTGTCTCGCAGGAGACGAAGAAACCTGACCAGCCGAAAATGAGTGAAGGCGGTGACACGCTGCATTCGCGCAAAAAAGGGGAGGCAGCAGGTTTTGTGAAGGCTGAAGTAGCTGGGAAAGCCAGAGTTGGCTTGTTTTTCTTTGTGCTTGCATGGTTGAAGCGGCGCTGTGGCCTCGAGGAGGTTCCCAAAGTCGGAGCTTCCAGGAAAGACGGATCGGCCCAAAGAAACTTCACGCGACCAGTTCATGCTCCGAGATTTGGGGTCCTAAGGGGCCCTCAAGTTTGATGCATCGGGTGTCAAGGGCTGTACCTGGTGGGTGCGTAAGTGTGGGGTTGAAGTGGGAACAGCCCGTTGATTCCATGCGGCTGCTTGCCCTGTGGCTTGCCACGCTGGCTGTGCTCCTGAACTCCGGTGCGGCGTCTCGTCTCTCCCCGTTTCTTAGACTTGAGGCTGAAAAGCAAATAGACGGAGGACTCCGGATGTATTCGGGATGTCCCGAGATATCATGGTAGCTTACATCAGGTTCCGGAAGAAGAGCTCAGTTGGGGCCTCGAGCCGAGGCCCTCCGGGATGATGGCGACGTCCGGTCGCTAGCGCTCGAGGCCTATAGGGTCTCCCCCCCTTCGAACTCAGAGTGCTCGTTAGAGCTCCGTATACTTCAAGAACCCCTTGTGAACCCGGCCTAGTAGGGTGCATGTGAAGATACACGGGAGGACAGCCACGAAAAGCAAGCGGGACGAGGACAGAAAGGATCCGGAGATTGATGCTCGGCTAAACATTTGTTGGGGCCGCCATTGGACTCTAAAGGACTCTGTGCTTGGCCGTTGCTAGCCCCTGGCAAGGTCCGTCCCCGGAGGCGCTCCGCAGCATTTTGCGGTCTCTCGGAGTTGCGGCTGAAGATCTCAAGGGACAGCCCCTTACCTGGCGAGGAGTCTATATTCGAAGAGACGGTTGTGTGTGGAAGCTTTATCTAGTTGGGAGGCCCATCAACGGCAGCTTGGACGCGCTCGCCAATCTCACCAGCCTACAGTATCTATACCTCAAGAACACCGGCGTCAATGGAAGCCTGCAAGCCTTGGCGGAGATGACCAAGCTGCGGAAGTTGTGGCTGCAAGGTACAAACGTGGCCGGTGACCTACAACCGCTCTTCAAGTTGACGAAGTTGGAGGAGCTACAGCTCTCGGATACCGGTGTGACAGGAGGCCTGCAGGCCTTGGGCGACATGAGCGAGCTGCAGCAGTTGTGGTTGGATGGTACAAAAGTGGCCGGTGACCTACAACCGCTCTTCAAGCTGACGAAGTTGAAGGAGCTCTTGCTCAAGAACACCGGTGTGACTGGAGGCCTGCAGGCCTTGGCGGAGATGAGCGAGCTGAAGCAGTTGTCGCTGCAGGGTACCAAGGTGGCCGGTGACCTGCAGCCGCTCTTCAAGCTGACGAAGTTGAAGGCGCTCTTGCTCAAGAACACCGGAGTAACCGGAGGATTGCAGCCTTTGGGCGACATGAGCGAGCTGCGGAAGTTGTGGCTGCATGGTACAAGGGTGGCCGGTGACTTGCAGCAACTCTCCAAGCTGACGAAGTTGAAGCAGCTTTTGCTCAAGAACACCGGCGTGACTGGAGGCCTGCAGGCCTTGGGCAACATGAGCGAGCTGCGGAAATTGTGGCTGGACGGTACCAAGGTCGCCGGTGACCTTCAACCGCTCTTCAAGCTGACGAAGTTGGAGGAGCTCTTGCTCGAGAACACCGGTGTGACCGGAGGCTTGCAGGCCTTGGCGGGGATGACCGAGCTGCGGCAGTTGTGGTTGGAGGGTACCAAGGTGGCCGGTGATCTGCAGACACTCTCCCAGCTGACAAAGTTGAAGCAGCTCTCGCTCAAGAACACCGTCGTGGACGGCGATTTCGGCGAGCTCCTTCACTTGAGAAACCTAATGCAGGCCCCTGTAGCACTGTCAGCTTTTCCCCGGCCCCACATTTCGCATTTTTTCACATGTCGGAGGCCGATCTGGGCGGCACGCGAGTGTCTGGGCGCCTGACGCCCGCCTGGCGGGGCCAACTCCGGCAGCTCCACACGCTCCGCCTCAAGGACCGGCCCTCAGAGCAAGGCCCGTGCACCCGGTTTCTGCTGCGGCTTAAGCCCAGGGCAGCCAAGTGAACTTCCTGCCCGTCGGACGTGACCTGAAAGACCTCCGGGCGACATTCGTCACCCGGCAGCTGCTTCCGGCCCTGGTGAACTTGGACGCCGCGTGGTTGCACTTCCAGTCAAGCTCCGAGTGGATGCTGTCAGACGACTGAGAGCTGAAGGTGTCTGAAAATTGAACGTCTCTTGACATTTCTTGCATCCAAGGTGTCGCAATGTCCGCTGGACGGCGAAGTCCAGGACCTGTTGGAGCCCCTCTCCTTCGCAGAACACTTGGCCTCTATCCGCGCCAGTGGGGCGAACCTCTCCGGGCATCTACAGAAGAGCTGCTTGCGCGAGGTCTCCGTGGACGGCACGGTCTATGATCAATATGGCAGGATACCCCTGCAGAGCTCCTTGCAAGGCTTGGAGTTGGCGGACAACAAGATCCATCGCATCGAAGGCATCCCCGCCAACGTCTACGTCTCCTTGGCGAACAACTCAGAGACATACGTGAACATGTCGTCTTTGCGGGAAGCTTTGGACCGCAACGTGCAAGTGGATCTCACGGCCTCCAAGATCTCCAACACGGACGATGTCGCCACTCTGTTTCATGAAGGATTCCTTCACAGAACCAAGCAGCTGACGCAAGGCGATCGCCTGCAAGGCTTCGAATGTTACGGCATCACCTCCACATCCCTGCGGGTCTCTCCGGCCTCGTTCTGGCCGGAAGGGCTCTGTGCCTGCAGCGCAGGCTTCCAAGGGAATGGCACTTTGTGCCACAAGTGCGAGCCGAACACCTACAATGAGCGCTTCAACGGCAGTTGCGTGCCGTGCCCCAGCAACAGCACCGCGGATCCGGGGGCCAGCTCCGTCTTCAGCTGCATATGCACGGTCGGCAGGAAGCTCTTGCCTGTGAGGGTTGCAACATGCGACATCATGAAACACTGCCATGAACCTGCCTTCCGACCTTTAGATTTTTGGAGACGGGCCCTGGTTCTTCTCGACCAGTTTTCCCTTTGCCGCAGGATGTACCGATCGGAGTCTGGACACGCCTGCAAGTGCGATGCATTGAGGGCGCTCTACCAGAGCCTTGGCCAGAAGAGGAAGGGTGCTCGTTGACTGTTGCAGTGGATATCTCGAGCTTCTACTGCCTCAGCGCAAACGCCCTAACCCCCCGAACCCTGGAAGGCCCAAAGAGAGAAGCGAGAAGCCTGCAAGGTCAGAGGATGCCCAGACTGCAAGTCCGGCTGCGGGTGACGTTTGCGAAGACTGCGGAAAGCTGCGCTTGGACCGCGGGGCTATCGGGTTGTTTTTCATCAGTGCCTGTACTCCTTGCGAATCGCCACCGTCTAGTCTAGTCTCTTTGCAGAACGCTTATCGAGCAGAAAGCTTCGTCTGAGAGAAAGGAAAGTATCACATCATGAGACACAGCCCCGTGAAACAGAACCCTATCTAACTCGTAATGGAAACACTGTCTAACGGAGAACGTCATGCGAGATACAGCATGCGAACAGGATTCTTAACGGATCTGTCGGTCTGTCTTGCTCATCCGATTCTATAAGCCCTTGCAGCAAAGTCTTGAGGGCAAAGGGTTTTGCTTGTTGAGCTAAAGCACTTGTATGGGTTCTATAGGAGCCAGTCTTTGCGATGCCAGCAGGGTATTCCCACCCGTGCGTTCGAGCGACCTTGTAAACGAAATTAGATGCACGACACTCACAAAAAAAGGGTTCCTGCAAATCCTTCCTTGCTCCACCTGTGCACGCATGTGCACGCCCAGACACTCCTGTGCTTTCCCACTCGGAGCCTCACCGAGCCCTTACGTCTCGAGAGGACTGCGGGCGGCACGGCCTCGATGCAAGCTCCGCGCCACCGCAGGCCTGCAACTGGATCTCAGTGATTTGTGCGGACTGCGTGCAGGAGTCCGTTTTTGTTCATCAATTCTTCGAAGGTCGGCTACGCTCGCCTGGAAGCCGGAGCTCAGCGTGCTTACAGGCCCAAGGCTTTTTAAGCAGCTCCGCCGGTGAGGCTCTCCCAGCTTCTCGACCCGCTGAGTTTCGCCAGGTGCTTGGAGCCTACGGCGGAGGAGCGCTGCAACGCTTCGTCAGCGAACGCAGCTGAGCCCGGCGCGGCGCTGGGCTGCGCCGCCGGCCACGGGGCGAAACCTAGAAACTTCCGAGCCCTCCAGAAAAAAGGAGCGCCTGCATGGATACACAGAAGATAGCTTCCTCCGACTTTCCTCCGAGGCCACGAGGGCCCGCTCTGCGTGGCATGCTCCTGGGGCTACCGCAGCCGTGCCGGCGTCTGCGTTCCCTGCGAAGTGGCCTCCGATGCCCACAAGCGCTGGCCTCCCGGACGAGAGCTGTTCTGAACCGACATTCTTGGTCAAGTGCTTCTTAATATGCTGTCTCGAACTATCAGCGGCCAGGCTGTACTTGCGTTGGGTAGTCGGGGCCGCGGTCTTTGCCGGAGTGCTCGCTGCCGTCATCTTCCTGTGGCGAAGGCTGGAGCTCCGCAGAATATTTTCAGTCATGCACTCGCAGTGGGCAGCATGCAAAGGCATGATCACGCACGGGAGTGCGAGAGCGAGAGAGAGACAGAGAGGGAGGGGAGCAGCACATCATACATAATTAGTCTCGAGCGAGCGAACGAGAGAGATGGAGAGCGAGCACGAGCCACTCCAGTTGGCGCTGAAGGAGCCGCAGCCAGCCCGCGACAGCCCGGCTCGAGCCGACCCTGTGGAGCGTCACCAGCCAAGCATGAACGGATGCAGACGGGTATATGAAAAAGTTGATGATCCCTTGATGTTCTCGAGCTGTATCCTGTTGCCTAATGATTTGCCCGAAACAGAGAGCCGTTTAATGCGCACTTCTCGAGGTGATGCAGCCCCTGTTGGCCTCGCAGGGCCCCGTGCTGCTCCAGCTGTTCCAGCTCTGGGGGCTGTTGGTGGCCCTCTTGGAATTCCAGGGAAAGACCGACGACGAACCGGCACGGGCTGACGGCTTGTGGGCGGAGGACGGCCGGTGTTGCTTTCCCATGGAGAAGTCAGCAGCGATTGCACGGCATTCTTGTGCTTGCTCGGGCTCAGGAGTGCGTCCAGTGGCTCCAGCTCACTGCGCAGGGTCTTCGCGATGCGACGAGCCTCGAGTGCTGGTTCGGAAGGACCTTCCGTGAAGCTCGCAGAGGTTCGGAAAATTCAGAGCCGTGTGTGTGTGTGTCGACGCAGGACAGCGAACGATGTCACGGCTTTGGTCGGGCCCTGTGTGCCCCTGGCGCTGCTGGTGCTCTGCATTCTTCCGGAGCTGGCCTCGCATGGAAGCGGCAGCGACCTCAGATCACGGAGTTGCCCAGTTCCGCGCGATGCTCGCGAGCGCCGCTTCATTTTTCAGGTGTCAGCTTTGTGCTGAAGCTGCTCACCTTGCTCTACATCGGGGGCGCCTCCAGCAGCGCAGCGCTCATGCGATGCCAGCACACCGACGGAGGCGCTTGGACTGTCGCTGCACGCTCTGTACTCGTCGTACTCGTGTCGCTCATCTTCGATTCTTTTGCCAGAACAGCAGGAAAAGAGCGCCTGCCCGACGAGTACGCATTCCGAACGGCACTACCGAACATCAAGTGCTGGGATGCCGCTCCCCTTGTCGCTCGGTGGCAAGTAGCAATACCACCGCATTCAGTCAAACGAAGTTGCCAAACATGCAGAGTATGCCGGGTGCCTTCCGTTGTCACCATGATAGCGTCCAGGATCTATACACTCCGTTCTGAGAACTAAGATTTAGGACCATGGCAGGCTTCGGGATAGATGAGGGCTTCAGGGTTTGGGCTGGGACTCGAGAGGGTGAGGCGTTGAGGATTGAAGTTTAACAAGTTTGATAACTGAGGTTTACAAAAAGAGCATTTGTGCAGAGAAGATACTTCGAGCATCTTCCACGTGTAGCCACTCGAACGTCAGGGCAGTCCATACAAAAACAAAGCGAATGCACACACTCGCATTTCATGGCCGCCCTAAAGAGACCGCAAAGCTGACTGCCCTGAAAGCTCACACCCTCAATTTTTCTTGGCGCTGCCATACTTTCTCCTTTTCTTGACCTTCAACCATGTTGAACAGTTGAAAAGCCCTCGGCGAAAAAAAAAAACATAAGACAACATCGGGTGCTGCAATTTAGAACAAATTTCAGCACCCTTCGGTGCTTTCGGCCTGCGTCAACTACACTTTCACAGATGAAATCAGTGTTTCCCTGGATTTGGCACATTCGAGACTTCATGCCTGCACTGTGAATTGTGTCTCCCTGCACACCCCTCTTGCGGGCGCCGTTGCAGTATGCCAAGTTTGTGTGGGCATAGTTGTTGCTACTTGCAGGGGCCTGCAGAGTTTATTGCACTGAGGCAGATAGCATCGCTGCGACCTGCGCCGTGTGCTACGGGCTGCTGATCCCGAGCTTCCTGGCATACCTCATGTTCAAGCAGCACCTGGCTTTGGCGCCCTGCCGTCGCTTCGTCAGCCTCGTCGCCCAGAAACAGGGCGGCGACACGGTCTCGGTTTGGCCGGTGGAGGAGTCCGAGAAGACCGAGCCAGAGCAAAACAAGGCAGGAGTTCCTTCGCACAGCGTGGTTTAAAGCGTCGCAGTAGCTTCCGTGCTGCTCGGGAGGAGCTGAAGAGGAAGAGCCTCCTGGCCGCGGCGGTCGCCCGCAGCTGCATCTACTTTGCCGGCGGCGTCCGGGTTCAGTTGCAGGACGAGCGCTTGAGTCTTGGCTGCCACCGGTCTGCCTCAAGAGGAAGAGCGAAGGAACAACCCGCTGAACTGAAAGTTTCTTGCCCGGCAGCTGAGGATCCTCCGACCACAGGAGCAAAGCGGCCAAGAGCACGACGTGCACTTGGATGCCGCTGGCTCGTTCGACCGCACGTGGGTGCAGCCGGGGAGACACGGGCCGTTGTGCACTGCTCAGGCGAACAGCTTCGTTTGGACTGCCCTGGGGAACAAGGGCGACGCAGATCTTCGGCGTTGCCAAGCTCTTGAGAGGCCTTGGGCTCTGTCCTTCACATACCTTCCCCGACCGACCCATGCAGACAGGGCCCTTCGGGTCCTGCGGCTTGCTTTGCTTATGAATGCTCTTCGATGTGTCCGTCTGCATGACGTCACCGGTCTGACATGCGGACGCCTGCACGGAGGATGCTGAAGGAGCGGTACGTACTTGACGAGGTCGCTTCCTCCGACAGATGCTTGGCTT